ATGTCCCTGATCATAAAATCATAGAAAAATTCATTATATTATATGTAAAATAAATATGTAAGAAGTAATATTGAAACATATACTTACGTGCACTCTTTCTCGTCAAATATTAAAGATGGTAAATTTTGAAGTGTTGGTAAAGCACCAGTTGTAGGATCAGTTGCAGGAATGTAACTACCAAACGTAGCATTGGCACAATCTTGAATTTCCTGTTGCTTAGATTGGAAACAATCTGGTCCTCCTGCTGCTATAAATACTGTATAAACACCAAAAAAAAACAAAACATTAATTACACATTAAAAAATATATTTATTTAATTGAAAGAATTTTATGCCATAAAAACAAAAATTACATACGAGCAATTCTATCTCCTTCTTTATAACAGACAAAGTTTAGAAGAGATTCGGTAATATTTAAAACAATCTTTTTATTTTCTCGTTCTCTCTCTTCCAAACAGGGCTCGATGGCAGTCGTAAAGTTATTTACACAAGTTTTAAAGATAGGACTTCTACGACAATATTTTTTAAAAACTTCATCCAATTCGCCCTTAGGTTTGGCGCTTTCCATCTCTGCATTTAATTCGGTCATATTGATGAGCGATTTAAGGCACTGTTCCATTTCTGTTTGTGCATGTTTAGCATTTTGAAATGCATTAGGTCCACCATTCTTTTGACATTTTTGTTCAAATAGATTTGCCGTTTCTTGTAAACTTGGAATAGCAGAAATATTAATATTGTTTAATTCAGGTGAATTTATTAAACCAGATGCTTGTTCAAGTACTTCTTTGGCAGATGGTAAATTTTCCTGCGTATTTCCATATCCAAGAAAACCTGTAATAAAGCATTCATTATGTAGTTTTTAATTTTTTATTTAGTTTGTTTCTCGTCTTTGTTTTTTGTGTTGCATAATTATAAGAATATCTGTGATTGCAAAATTATGCATATTTTTTTTTTGTTCTAGCACTCTAATAATATCTATAATTAATCAAAATCATAAGAACGTCTTTGGCATATCATAATTATCTCAACATAATTCGAATATAATTTTTTTCATTATTAAAATTATCATAACAAAGATATCATACATGTAGATATACCATGATGACTAACATGTATATATGACGTATACCAACAATTATACAAACAAACGTGTAATATAATGTGATCTAAGGACTTTGAAACCAATTCTTCTTTTATCTTTCTCTACAGGAAACAAGAAACATTTCAATCGTTCAATTATAAAACAACACGAATAAAAATATGATTTTTTTTTTTTTCTGTAAAAAAAAAACGAATATTTCTCCTTAACATATGTGCAATAATTCTTGATGATATTAAAAGAACAAAATAATTATTATTACAAATTGATAACTACAAATAATAATAATAATAATAATATATTTGATTAGATTACATCAGATATGTTTCTTTAACTTACTTCAGCGTATTATTTAAAGTGAATAATTAAATTAACTTTGATTTTGTAACAAAAAAAAGAAAAAAAGTATAAAACACTTTTGGCGATTCTTTTAATCTCATAAATGAATTTAAAGCATATTGTCATAATCGAAATATTCGAAAGTTGGTTAAGTCGATTATATACTTGTATTTTCAATTATTTATAAATAAATTATCAATGTGACTTATAAAAGAATAAATCAACTAATCGAATATTTCAATTATATAACTATATTAATTAACATAATTTCTATATTCATAATTATTTGCACAGTAATGTAATATGCCTTCCAATTATATGAACATAATTTTAATGAAATTAAAAAATGATTGAATATAACTATGAAAACTAAAAAAAAAAAAAGAAAAAGACACGCGTGTATTATTTTTTTTTTTTATTTCTTGCTAGAGAAAACATATCTCAGAATTTCTAATCTAAATATAGATTATGATATTTGTTCCTTTTTGTTGATACAGTACAATGTCCATTACAAAGTGTAACAAATATCAGTTTAAATAAAGATAATGAAGATAAATATTTAAGATAAAGAAAATATAAATCCAAATAAATTCCTATGAGTTTTAATTTAACAATATAAATAATATATATAATATTATTATTAAATGACATATTTTGAACTTACCAAACAGAAGATAGAGAATAGGAATAACAATGGAATAACCCATTGTAATTTTTCTTAAAAAGAATATGGAATGATATTTAAAACAAAACAAAAAACTTGTACAAATCTGCACGTTATTTATGGTACGTGTCTTGCTTTACTTATTACAAGTTTTTTCAAATAAAGTTTCACATATGACGAATCACAGTTAAGATTTGTAATTCAAAATAATAACCTTCACCTATGCACTTTGGTATTTTGTTTATGAATAAATAGAAAAAGATAGAGAGCACCTAACCACGTTGACGTTTACTATGCACTATACACTGAGAATTAAATACGTTTGCGTTGATCTCGTATCTTTTACAGATACAGAAGTTTTTTATTTTTATTTTTTTGAGGGTTTTTTTTTATCTGTATAAAATATGTCGCTTGTTTAATCGAGATTGAACCATGGACGATGAAAAAAGAAAGAAGAAGAAGAAGAAGAAACACGATACGTGCATCCGAAAAGGTCAGAAGAGTTCGATTGAAGAAAACCAACGAGACAGATAAAGATAGAACAAATGGCAGATTATGTTTGTTGTGTGTGTGTATGATATGTATGGATGTATATTAAATGGAACAATTTGTGTTGGACATCTACCAAGGAAAGGGAAATGACCGAGCGATTGGTTGAAAGGAAGGAAAGAAAGAGATATGATTGGAAGAAAAGTCGCGCCAAAATTCAAATTATCATGGCCACCGCGCGCTTTACTTTAACACACAAGATTAACTGAGAGTAGTAGCTCAGCGTATTGCTTATATAAGTTCTTAAGCATTCCTATCTTCTTTTTTTTATTTTTCCCCTACTTTAAAAATCGTCTCCCCCTCTTTTTATTAACTATTTGTCTTTTTATTCATTGTTTCCTTTATTTCTTCTTATCATTGACTTTTGTACTTTTCTATAGTACAGATCAAAACAGGTTTCTTTTGCTAGACATATTTATATATTTTAAACGTATACATTTTTAATTATCCTTAATAACAACAACGTCAACAGTTACGTTTTAAAAATAACTACGAAGGTTAAGATTTTTAGTGCAACTGAATATAAAGACAAAATCATACTCATAAACAAAAAATACAATATATTTATATATAAATATAAATTACTATATAAATAGTTTTGCGAAATCCCCTAGAATATACAAATCCTAGGTAGTATAGTGGTTAGTATCCCCGCCTGTCACGCGGGAGACCGGGGTTCGATTCCCCGCCTGGGAGATCATATTTTTTGCAATTTTTCATTTATATTTTATTTTTTTTTTATTATTTTTACAAACAATTATTTTTTACAGTATTAACACGTTGAACGCCCACGCAGTCCATTATTTGGATGATGGTTAATGTTTCCGCTGAGGCCTCATCATCCGTAAACCAGTGACACACTGTTCTTCGTCCAATTAAATCAGGATTTTGAAGGTAATTTATAGTAATTTTATTAGTAACATAATTATGACGATGTAAAGTAAACTATAAAATGAACAAAATTATAAAATACGTTGAGCACCACGCGAATCTAAAGGAAATTTCCGTCAGTCACTCCTGACTGACCTTGTGAACTCTCTCTTTTTCTGACGTTCAATTATTTTTTTTTTAATACAAATTAACACCCGTGGCATGACACGGGATTTCTTTAACAATACAACGTGTTTAATTATACTTTTCAAGTATGTATAAAAATTATATAAATTTAGATTAATATTTTCGCTGATAAGCTTGTCGCGAATAAATTTTCGCAAGCATCGGTGGTTCAGTGGTAGAATGCTCGCCTGCCACGCGGGCGGCCCGGGTTCGATTCCCGGCCGATGCAATTTATTTTTTATTTTTTTGCCTTTTTTTTAATTTAATCAATGTCAATATATTTGTTTATAACACTGCAAGTTTTTTTTATGGTTAATTTTTTCTCGTAACGTATCAACACTATATTATAGCAAGTAACCATTGGCGGATTTGTCTCCTACTATTAATTAAGAAAAAATTTATTTAATCTCTTAACATTAAGTTAGCGCATAATAGCGAATTTGTACCACTTTTTGTAAGATACTGTACCTCAAGGAACAAATAAAAACTTAAAAAAAAAAAACAAAAGTTTCGTTTCTCGGCAATATTGTAGACGATAAAACTAATATCTAATTCTTTCTTTATATTTTATTTTCTGTTTTAAATACGATATCGATATCCTTAGTGAAAGAAAACTCCACTCAGAGATTAAAAGAAATATTCTGGAGGGGCAATAAAAATTCCTAAACAAACTTAAGAATAATCGGAACATTGTGCCGTGACGAAAACCCTTGTGCGGTGTAGGATCCTTCGAGTGGTTTCAGATTTCTATGTAAACACATGCAACACTACAAGAAAATACGATATTCCGTTATTTTCAAACAAAGTTCCTTTATGCATGATTTCCCACTACGTATCTTTACCAAAAACATAAGCTATACCCATCGGTGGATTATAGGGGATGGATCCTTTTACTATTGGTCGATAAGATTCATAATCTCCTTCCCTTTCCAAAAGAGTGTTACTCTTTTCTGATATAAATATGTGAAAAAAAAAAGTAACAGTCTGAACCTCACAATATATTTGTTTATAACACTGTATAATAAAAATTATAAATTTAGATTAATAATTTCGCTGATATGCTTATTATGAATAATTATTCGCAAGCATCGGTGGTTCAGTGGTAGAATGCTCGCCTGCCACGCGGGCGGCCCGGGTTCGATTCCCGGC